GAGGGGGCGCCTGGGACCCGGGAGTTCGCGCAGCCGCAGTGCGTCAGGAGACACGCCCCCCTCTGGCAGCCTCACACTGTCCGGGCGCACCTGGGTGGGCCGAGCGGTTGTCGGTCTGGGCTGGGTGGGGGGCGCGTCGTTCTGCAAGCCCCTAATTAAAATTATCCCAGGCTGATAACTACATTTTAAGGGAAGGATTCAGAAGCTAACAAGCGCTAGTTGTTAAAATTTTAAATTGGAGGTCCACTCTTGATCATCTTTTAAAAATCGGAGTGGGTAAGAGTAAGACATTTTTACGTGCTTTTCTCCTGTGCTTTGTAAAATATCGCTTGAAAGCACATGAGATATCTGGTGGAAAGAGTAAAAGCTAGCTAGTATCATACATTTAAATGCTTGAAAGGTTTAACGTTAAAAACATGAGGGAAAAAATTGTTGGGTATCTCAGGATTAGAGTATCAGGTCATTTGCATTTTTGCCCTATTTTCTACATGTTATTTTTTTTTAAATGTTGTTTTATTGCTATCAGAGAGGAAGGGAGAGACAAACATCAATGAGGAGAAAGAATCACCCATCCGCTGCCTCTTGCATTCCCCCCACTGGGGATCCAGGCAGCAACCCAGGCATGTGCCCTTGATGGGAATTGAACTCAGGACCCTTCAGTCCGCAGGCTGACACTCTATCCACTGAGCCAAACCAGCTAGGGCTGAGGAGAGCTTCTTGAAAAAATATTTTTTTTCCTTGATCCAGGTTGTGGTTGCATGAGTGAGTTTGCCTTGTGAAAATTTATTGAGATGAGCCCTTAGAATTTGTATACTTTTCTGTATGTATATAATTTTTCAATAAATACATTTTTTATTAAAAATGCTACAATAAGACAAGTTTTTGCAAGCACAGGTAAATGTAGTTTACAGATGCCCCCCCTTTAGTAAATTACTAGGTAATAATTGTCTTCTTTCACAAGCACAAATTGAGACTCATAGAGAGAGGTGAGGTGAGACCAAGGTTCCACAAGACATTCGCGAGCCTAGTGGAAGAGTACATCCTAACTAGGATAAGCCCGAGGGCCTAGGAAATTAGCTCCAGGCCAAGCCAATATCACCACAGTAAATTGCCTTGAGATTTCATGTGTGACTTGTGGTAATTTTAAAATACGCTCACACTTTCTTTCAACACTCCTCCCATATAAAGGTGGAGTCTACGGCCCCTCCCCTTGAACATGGGCCAGTCCTGGTGACTCCTAGCTAAAGAACAGAAAGTGGCACAACAGACAGGGAGTGATCTTGAGGCTAGGTTCGAAAAGAAAATTCAGCAACTGTCTGACTCTGAATCCAGCCACCATCTTGCCACAGAGAAAGGCCATGTGTCAGTGTTTCAGCCAATTCCAAGGGCCCCAGCTGACAGCCACCGCCAACCATCAAACATGTGAGCCACTAGGTATGATCCTAGGTGATCCTAGCCCCCAGCCTCCCACCACCACAGCTGATTCTCAATGGAGCAGAGACCAGCTGTCCCAGATAAAACCACCCAAACTGCAGATTGGAGTGCAAAATAAATGTGGAGTGAAGCCACTGAGATTTGGGGTCGTTTGTTACACAGCAATAGAGAACCGGAACAGTGTTTTTAATATGTCTAATTCCCACTACAAGCTTAAAAAGTAGATACTACTCCGCCAGTGTCGCTTGGTGGTTGAGCATTGACCCAAGAGGGAGAGAGGGAGGAGGGGAAGAGAGAAAAACATCTATGCGAGACACATTGATTGGTTGCCTGGAACATGCACCCCAAAAGGGGTGGGGATCTAACCTGCAACCCAGGTACCTGCCCTTGACCCCTTGACCAGAATGGAACCTGAGACCCTTGGTTCACTACCAACGCTCTAACCAATGTACAACACTCGCCAGGACACAGCGTGGTTTTTGAAATAATTAAAACGACCATAATGTTTCTCTGTATAGGCTTTAAAAAAAAACACACACACAGCAGCTTTATGGAGGTTGTATGCGGCCTTTTGCCCACCTTCTCCTATTTAATCTCGACGACAGCGGTGTGAGTGAGTTACCATCATCCCAATTTTACAGATGAGAAAACCCAGGCTAAGAATGAATAAATGGCCTAATTCTCCGCCGCCTGTAGGGTGTGGTAGGGCTGGAAGGCAAATTCGGCTTATTTGCAAACGCTTCCCTCTGCCTCTTGCTTGCAGAGAAAATAGAATTTGTGAGAAACACATTGTTATTTCGTATTACAGAGGAAAAGAAAAACGTTTACGTCCCAATTTTCTCTGTTGCCAAGACTCATAAGAAGAAAACTTGGTGATCAGTGTCCGGTCCCTGGGTTTCAGAGGAAAATTAAGCTCAAAGAAAGTAGGTCCCTTAAAAAAAACAACGCCATCCACACCCATGTGTCATTCATTTCACACAAACCCTGGGCGGCCGCCGGAGCTGCGATGATCCTGCCGAGCAGGCTCACAGGGGACCTGTCAGGCCTTTTCTGCCCGCTCCTCCCCCGGACCACACGGGAGGGAAGTCATATTTGCTTTTCCGTGTCCCCTTCTGAGTGTCCGCACTCGGGACTCGGCGCTGGGCGACCATTTCCACCCAAATACACTGGCACTTCCCCTTCCCGGCAGACGGCGGCTGATGGGCGGGAAACACACTTCCATTAACCTGTCAGCCGCCTTCAGCCCCATCAACAGCAAGCGTGGCGCGCTCGCCTGGCAACACAACCGCCAGGAACCTCGTTTGTCCCTCGGAAATCTACTGAGAGAAACCATTTTAAAAAGAGCGGAACTCAGAGCGGGCAGCTCTGCCCCAGCTCACAGCACTGGGACGAGCTGGGGTTCGAGCCCACACCCCGCAGGCTCAGAGCCCCCAGGCTCGCCTGACTCGGAGGCCCGCCGCCTAAGCCCCCCGGTTC